GTGGGGTGTGGGGTGTGGGGTGTGGGTAGATGTGAGTTCCAGTGTTTTATATAACCACCCACACCCACACTCACACCCACCCACCCACACCCACCCGCACCCAGCCACCCACACACCCACACACCCACCCCACACCCAACCACACCCACCCACACCCACACCCACACCCACCCACACCCACCCACATCCACACCCACCCACACCCACACCCGCCACCCCACCCACACCCACCCACCCACACCCACACCCACACTCACACTCACACCCACACCCCATCCACACCCTGAAACGCTTCGCCCTCCATTCGTACCTATTCAGTCTATTTTTAACGTTCTTCTGCCACCAAAATCCAGCGTCGATATTTTTGTCTCTTCTCCCGTTTCCTCACTCTCATCAACCTTTATTCCTACATCGACCTTTTTGGAACACCCACATCTATCAACACAACAGAAACACGTTATCTTTGCGCATCACGTATCTTCCTTATCCATCACAAATCACTCGGCTTTTACTCAAACCATTCCTCAACGTTTCTGTTTCGGGTATCTAACAATACCCCCACCTCAAAAATCATTCTTCAATCAGATTTCTGATCTTTGCGATAAATACAATGAGAAAAGAAACAAACAAATTCGATCTTCCACTTCGTTCACTCATCAACAACTTCCACAACGTATTTTTAAAACAACAAGCTAAGAACAACATTATAGCACAACAAAAGTATAATAAACAACGTTATGATAAACACCGACCTAATCCTCATTATCACATTGGAGACCGCGTCTTCACAAAAATCTTCACTGCACGCGGAAAATTAGATCCTCGTTATTCTTCGGAACCAAACATCATTACCGAGATACATCATCCTACTTATTCTGTTCTCAACGAATATACCGGAGTTGTAAAACAATTTCATGTCTCTGACATACGTCCAATTATTCCAGCCTATGAACCTGATCCTAATAATTAATGCTCATTAACTAAAACTCAATCATGGTAAAAATAAAAATATAATACTTCTCTTTTATTCATTAGAACGCAATCATGGTAAAAATAAAAATACAATACTTCTCTTTTATTCATTAGAACGCAATCATGGTAAAAATAAAAAACAAATGATACTTATCTTCAATCCATACTATTATTATTCTGCCTTTCCACATACCACATTCCTTCTCTTGGTGTACGTGCGAGAACAATATACATTTCACTACATAATTCCATTTCTCTTTGCCACTTTCTTTTTATGATTAAAACCATTCTCTTCGTCATACTGATAATATCAAGTCTATTTATTTTTATGATTCTTCTCATCGCTCAATTCGTTACAGCTGTCGATGTTTTTCTCTTTGGTCAGCCTAAATTGGAATGTAAACCTTGTATTTGTCATCCGGAGTGCCACTGTGAAACAAAATGTGTACAACAGCAGATTATGAAAGAATGTAATCTTGGTGTCGATAGTCACAACCTACTTGCATCACATCACATGCAGGAAAACCGAGCAACTCGATTGTTTTTAATTTTCTCGTTAATCATAAATTTTCTTCTAACACTTCTCTTATTATTTCGTAAAACTGTACGCAACTGTTATCGTGCACATCAAATACGAAAACAACAACAAACAGAAACTAAACAACAAGCAGTTGCTTGTCAACAAACTGAACGCTATACTATCGCATTGAAACAAATGATTACACCACATGCAGAACCATGCCAACCAAAACAAAACAGTCCTCATACATCATCGGATCAACCATTATTTCAATTGCTCTCCAACTTAAACATCGCAGACCGGGTATGAACTAGACATTACCGCCAAAAAAAAAACAAAAAAAAACAAAAAACATTTTTCTTCTTCTCTCTTTTTGTTTCAATTTTTTGTCAAAGAGGGGAGGTGTTAGCGATGACTTAAGTCATCACTTTCTTTGTTCGCGTTTTGTTAAAAATGTGATTCTCGCTCACATTTTTCCTTTTCTTCTTGATTCATGATGCATGATGCGTTGTGTAAAAAATGTGATCATAGATCACATTTTTTCCTTCTTTTTTTCTCCTATATATACACTATTCTTTTTCTTCGATTTTTTGGAATTCTTTTTTATTGTTCAAACGTGATTTTTTGGTCTTAAAGAAAATAAAGTCTACGATACACATACTCACTCTCAAATCACTCTCTCAGCTTTACAGACAGGCTAACACTGTGCAACTGAGACTCCTCTATTTATAATAATAATTATTAAATTCTGTGTGAATACAGTAATGATGATATAATCATTCTTAAAGTAGATGTGTCTCTGTTTTTTTATTATTCATATTATAGTCGACGAACAAGATTTTGATCCAACTTCATATTATCGTTTCACAACACAATGGCAAGGCAATAATAAATCTCTTGATGTTGTCAATGATGGTAAAAATAATAATCAACTTATACTTACTACAACTGGTAATTATGGTGGACAATATTGAAAGATTACTCCAACTGATAGTGGATTTTATCGTTTAACTACACAATGGCAAGGTGACAAGAAATCTCTTGATGTTGTTAATGATGGTAAAAATAATAACCAGCTGATACTTGCTAAAACTGGTAATTATAGTGGACAATAATGGAAGATTACTCCAACTGGTAATGGATTTTATCGTTTAACTACACAATGGCAAGGTGACGATAAATCGCTTGGTGTTGTCAAGGATGCTAAAAATAATAATCAGCTTATACTTGCTAAAACTAATGATTGTCAGGAACAATATTGGAAAATAACAAAAGTGTGATACATGAATGAATAATTGACTAATAAATTGACTCATAAATAATCTTACAAAAAGAATATCAGATAAATCTTCATTAAATAATTTTATCAGTATATCCTAAAATAAATAAGATTTCTATATATCGATAAATTTGTAACATTTAACAGGACTTTCTTATTATTGATCAACGTAATCGATTATAATGTTTTCTTTTCATTTTAAATAATATTATAATTTCAGATTTCAAGATTTTATTATTTTTAAGAAGTAAAAATAAATTCAATGCTGAAAAGTTTTCTCGATATCAGTATTATATTTCGTTAAATAGCTATCTATGTCAATGCGTACGGTATTGGTACCCATGTCATCATGCTTCGTACGCTAGGCGTACATCTTCGCCATACTCGTGACGAACGTAACGCAACTTCACATGTATGGAAAGTGCCGTCATATATACGCACTATGACATATCATACATGATTTTCTCTTTGACTTTTCCCATACAAAATGATGTTCAAATACTATAAACGGTTGAAGACTCATCCGCTTCTTGGAAGATATGCGCTCGATTTCTGTCCTGATTATGTGATCCTTTTTATCTAATGGTACATGTCTTCCGTGGATATTCATAGTCGTCAAAATACATTGACAATCAGATAGTTTAATTGATAAAATAACCAGTCCGATATTCGGAGTTATAGGTTCGAGTCTTGTTCTGATTTTGTGATCCTCATTTAGATAGTCGTCCGTCCTAGTTGAAGCATGTCACTATGAATATTCGATAAAGTTTTTTTTTTTGTACTTTAACCGTGAGCAGATAAAATGAAACATTATCTTCATCTTTCTCAGAAATTTATATCATATTTATTCTCATCTTTCTTTAATTGATCACGATCATTAGTTGAAAAATAAGAATGTTTGTATATATTTAATTTTTTGATCATATAATGTCAGTATTTAGATAGTTCAGCATTATTGAATTAGTTCATCATTGTTGAATAATGATATTAAATTACTAGGATAGATCATCATCAACAATAACTGCGACGATTCTTTTAGCATGTCTGATAATCCTTTGATGATATCATTTTTCCGTACGTTGACATATTTCATTATTTTCAATCAAAAAGTCAACAATCATCTTCAGAGATTGAATGTATTTTCTTTGTAATAAAGCATCATTAACTTGTTCCGAAGTAACTAATGCTGCCAAAATAATATTTGAAAATGGAGTGTGGGTGTGGGTCTAGATCTCTTATTCATCCACACTCACCCCCACCCCCACACCCTCACCTACACCCTACCAATGGGTTTCTTTGTCATAGTACCCACCTAACATTCACCCACAGAACACTAAAGTAATTCCTTATTGACCAGAAAATGAATCGGTCATTTAAGATACATCAATTGAGAACGATATGAAAAACGTCCGTCTACTAAAAGTCACTGTGTGACATCGTTATCAGTTTCAGACAGCGCTCGAATCGCAACTTCGAGCTCTATTCTCCGGCTCTTGAATTCTTGTACTAAATTATCGACCAATTCAGAGCAAGGTTCGTGTAACTCCACTAGGCCATTAGCATTGTAAATGCTGATTTTATTATCAATAGTGGTGACAGCTATCGCTTGTACCAGTGCTGAATACGTAAGTATAGGAAGCCATGCACCGTTTCGTGAATCCAAATAAATATTCATCAAATGCTCAAAAGCCATCGTTTTCCAACCGAATTCCTTAAGCCGTCGGAAAGAATCGTACAATTTCGCGATTGTCTCAGAATCCAAATATTTCATTCTGCTCTCACAAGCTATCGCCTTTTCCAGGTTGCGATCAAGTTCGAACCCTGAGAAATATCCACCATCCAATTCCCTAAGGCGTGCAGCCATCCACTGACTCGTCGCTGACTTTTTATCCATTTTGTCGAGTGCTACGAACGCCGCCTGTCCAACATGTTGATCTTCATCACATATTGCATTCAGCAGAGCAGGGATCACCTCATTGGTCGCTGCATTTTCACCCATATTTCCAAGTGCTTCATACGCTGCCGATCGAACACTTTTATCTTTATCACGCATTGCATTCAGCAGAGCAGCGATCATCTCATTAGTCGCTGCTTTTTCACCGATATTTCCGAGTGCTTCACACGCCTTCCGTCGAACATATCTTTCTTCATCAAGTACTGCATTCACCAGAGCAGTGATCACCTCATTAGTCGCTGCTTTTTCACTCATATTTCCAAGTGCTTCATACGTCTCCGATCGAACTTCTTCATCTTTATCACGCATTGCATTCCACAGAGCAGCGATCATCTCATTAGTCGCTGCTTTGTTAGCTATCTTTCCGAGTACTTTACACGCGTTCGTTCGGACATACTTATTTTCGTCAAGCATTGCATTCAGCAGAGTAGCGATCACCTCAGTATTCGCTGCTTTTTCACCCATCCTGCCGAGTGTGGGTGTGGGTGTGGGTGTGGGTGTGGGTGTGGGTGTGGGTGTGGGTGTGGGTGTGGGTGTGGGTGTGGGTGTGGGTGTG